GGTTGGGCATGGACTGGAGCCCGTATTCATGGCAGGGGCGCTGTGGTGTGGGCGGTGCGGGCGGTGTGGGCGGTGAGAGCGGTGAGCGGCGGGGGTTGGGCATGGACTGGAGTCTGTAAAACATTGCTTTTCATGGCAGGGGCGCTGCGGTGGGGGCGGTGAGGGCGGTGTGGGCGGTGTGGGCGGAGGCCGGCGGGGGTTGGGCATGGACTGGAGCCTGTAAAAAAATTGCTTTTCATGGCAGGGGCGCTAGAGGGGGGGGGGGCAAGTGCGAGCGGTGGGGGGGGGGGTNNAAAACATTGCTTTTCATGGCCGGGGCGGGGATACAGGTCAAGTGAAGGAGGGGCAATGGGTCTTCACTGACGCCGACCCCCGCTTCGGGGTCGGCGGATATTGTTATCACTGCCGCTCGTACCCTCAAAGCTTTCACGAATCATATGATTTGTTACCTCTGCTACTCCCTTGCTGGAACATCGAACAGAGCATTGCTGACATTAATGGGGCTGCCCTTTTTTAGAAGTAGGCGTAACCCTAGTCTTAACAAATACCAATAACAGCAGTAGGATTAATCGTAGTAATGTCGTTGTAGTCCTAACCCTGCGAGCAGCTAACATCTGAATTAATAGCCGTAGCAGGAAAGCTGTACTGATGATCGGCATATAGGAACCAGATCATAATCACCATCACTACTGTTCATGCCGTTGCTGTTCTCATGTTTGAAAGAAACATATTGATTGCAATATGGTCGGAATAATTCTAACAAGAACACGCGAAGGAGCCACATGGGATGAATGCCAGCAATAGTCTTTCATGATGTCATCAAGACTGTCAGCGGCAAGAGTAGCGGCAGAAAGCAACCCTAGCAAGTATATATTGATTTTCCGAAGAGAAAGAACTGTGACACATCTGTGGCTACGCTTGACATTCATGAAAAGCGCACTCTCAGCAACCTGGGCTGAAAGAACCAGATTACCAACCCGATTTTTGCGTAAAGTGGCCGGTAGGCCATGAGGTTCTTCTCTGGTTGTGTTTTTTGGTGTTGGGTACTACGAAACTGGGCGTAGCAAAACGTTGGTTTTTACTTGTTTTCCAGCATTGTTGATATGTCTCAGATTTTGCGTATGTCACAAGCGAACTCCGGCCAGAAATTTTGTGAAAAAGCTCTCTGAGTGTCTGGTTGTGTTTTCTCTGGGAGGGAGTATCATAGAAAGGTCTTTGAAGGGGCCGCAAAATGAAAGGAATCAACGCGTATTCAGCAGCCATGTTTATTGGGTCTCCTGGCATTTCATAATTGTCCTCTTGTTTGTAGTTTGTAGAGAGCTCGCGTCATCGGAGCAGAGGCGGATTTCTGGCCCGGGGGACTAGACGTTTGTAACCACGTGTAAGAACTGGGTGCGGACATTATGTTAGAGAACCCTAAGGAATCCCCCAACCAAAAGAAACCTGCAGATTTTTCGGGACATCTGAGCCTTAATTGCCCTGAGTCTAAATACCCCCAATACGGGTTTGTTGGTCCCTTACTTCGGGTTTTTTTGTTGGGAGGGGGTCCGAAGAGCAGGTTCTCACCGAGAAAGGTAGATGGCAAGACTTGGACTTCATCCTGGCATTTTCGTCCACGGCTGCAATCCTGGGTTCAGCTGGGCAGGCAAACTACGCTGCTGCAAATGCATGTTTAGATGCCCTTATACACAAATTGCGTCCTGAACTTAGCGCTCGCCAAGGTGAAACAAGCATGCTACAATAGTTTTGTATATGTTTGACCCGTATCTTCAGTGCCCAGATTAAGGCTTAGCCGGGCAGAGATCGCTGAGCCTGCAGTGGGGCGCATGGCTTGATTTGGGAATGAGCAAGCCGCAGAGTCTGCGACACCTGTGTCAGAAAGGACTTTCTGCTGAGGTTGGTTGGGAGCTCAGCGAAACGATTTTGAAGGGCATCGGTGTGAACCTTCAATGAGGGTGCAACATTTGTCTTGCACGTTGTGATCGCCGAGGGCACCAATCGGTTTGGTGCACTTTGAAAATCTTGGAAACATCGAATTAGGTCGTCGGCTCCACAACTGCACGTGCTGCACCACCAACCCCCCTGCCTTCTTCAGAAGCAAACACAGTGACGGGGAAATCGTGACAAGATTTGCATATGGCTTTACTTAACTCAAACACATTGCCTGGGAAACAGCAAGAACCTCATGATCATGTTCTCGTGTTCTCCAAGGTTTGAAAATGGGGTTGCTGCCCCTGCCCTCGCCCATGCTGCTATTTAATTTCTGAAGAGCAAACAATGCAAACACTGCTTGGGAAATTCCATCACGACTAACTTGAGCAAAAACTACATTTTCCCTTCCCCGTCCATGTTTTGCAACTGGTGGGAGCCTCCACCCCACCGACACCCCAGCAGTTTGTCGTTGTTTTTCTTTTAGCAAGTTCAAGGCCTTGGAAATCGTATCGACACATAGCTAATAACCGCGCATCAGTCACACACTTGAGTTTGAGTCACATGGACATGAAAATTGGCACGCTCCCAGATCAACTGATGTTCACGACTTCCACAGGCTCATGTTCATTACACTCTTTGTGGATAGCAGCTGCAACGCTGTTGCCCAGATACTCCACATGCAGGTACGTTTTCCTAGACTTTCAAAATGAGCTTCGTTGGCGACGGCCATTCTTGAAAATCCCCGTCGCCCCCTGCATATATGGGCACGTGCCAAAACGA